TGAAAACTCTGCTCACAAGTGTCTGACCATTGGAACTTAACTGCTTTCTGAGTCAACTTAGTTAATGGAGCTGCAAGTAAGGAAAACCCCTCCACAAACCTTCTATAGTAGCCAGTTAACCCCAAGAAACTCCTAATTTCGGTTGGCGTTGTCGGCCTAGGCCAGTTCTTGATTGATTTTGTCTTCTGAGGGTCTACTTTTATTCCTTCACTAGATACCACGTGGCCTAAGAATGCCACTGACTGTAACTAGAACTCACATTTTGAAAACTTGGCATAAAGCTCATTTTCCTTCAAGGTCTACAAGGCTATTCTGAGGTGTTCTGCATGATCTTCCTTGCTCTTAGGGTACACCAAAACATCATCTATAAACACAATAATAAAGGTATCTAGGAATGGCTTGAAAACTCTGTTCATGAGGTCCATGAATGCGGCTGGAGCACTTGTCAACCCGAAGGACATCACTAGAAATTCATAGTGCCCGTAGCGAGTTCTAAAGGCTGTTTTAGATATATCCTCTTTTCTGATTCTCAACTGATGGTACCCCGACCTCAAGTCTATTTTTGAAAAGTACTTTGCACCTTGAAGTTGATCAAATAAATCATCAATTCTTGGTAGTGGGTACTTGTTTTTAATGGTAACTTTATTCAACTACTGATAGTCGACACACATTCTGAGAGACCCATCTNTAGTGGGTACTTGTTATTAATGGTAACTTTATTCAGCTGCCGATAGTCGACACACATCCTGAGAGACCCATCTTTCTTCTTGACAAACAGGACCGGAGCACCCCACGGTGAAACACTCAGTCTGATGAAGCCCTTGTCAAGAAGGTCTTTCAACTGTTCTCTCAACTCATTAAGTTATGCTGGAGCCATCCTATAAGGAGGTATAGATATGGGCTGAGTGTCTTGCATGAGGTCAATGCTGAAGTCTATGATTCTTTCGGGAGGAAGTCCGGGAAGGTCATCTGGGAAAACTTTTGGAAATTCTTTAACAACTGGCACTGACTGAAGAGCTGGTGGTTCTGATTCTGGATTAATGATGTTGGCCAAATAGGCGAGACACCCCTTACCGATCATTTGTTGTGCCTTAAGGTAAGAAATAAACTTACCTACAAGCGATGCCGAACTACCCTTCCACTCTAAGACTTCTTCATTTGGAAATTGGAACCTGACTATCTTGGCATGACAATCTAACATGGCATAGTAGAAAGACAACCAATCCATACCCATGATCACTCGAAATCCACCATTTCTAATTCTATGAGATTGGCCTTGGTGTTGCGACCTTGGACTGAAACTATACAACTTCTATAGACTCTTGTGACTTTCACTGACTCGCCAACTGGAGTAGATACTAGGAATAGATCACTACGTTGTTCAGGTTCTAGACCGAGGTTAATTGCAAAGTATGGAGTCACATATGAAAACGTTGAACCTGGATCCATTATGGCATAAGCATTATGTGAGCAGACTAAAAGTATACCTGTAATAACTTCTGCAGATGCCTCTGCACTCTGACGATCAAGTGTAGCAAACAAACGGGGTTGTCCCCCTCCCTAGGTAACTCGATCGGCATCTCTGTTTTCCCCCTGCCCGGCCTAATTATGAGAACCACGAGCCTGAGGTGGTACAACTGTGGTAGCTGAGGAACTAGAAGGACGAGTTGATCCACCACTGAAATTACGTCGCAACTTTGGGCAGTTGGTCTTTATATGACCAATGTCTCTGATGAGTGGTGATTTTACCACTCATTCTAGCCTTTTTTCCTTAACTTTTATGTCCTTTTAATTATACAATGAGGTTGTTTATGGTGGTTATTGTTAGATTTTCAGGTAAATGATGCTACGAAGTGGTTTGAATCGAATGGAAGTGGAATTGAGCAAAAAGAAGATGAAACCATGCAAAACCTCCAGTGATTTCCGCTTCTGCGGAAGATTGGACGCAGAAGCGACGTCCGCTTCTGCGGATTTTCGATCGCTTATACGGATTTGGGGGAATAGGCTACAACCACTTCTGCGGTTGAAATTTCGCTTCTACGGAACCGCAGAAGCGGTTGATTTTCCGCTTTTGCGATCACTGACAGCATGGAGGATCTCCACTTTTGCGATGGCTTTTCCGCTTTTGCGGAACCACATCTGCGGTTACTTTTACGCAGATGCAGAAATAGTGCATCAGGCCTGGGCAAAATTGGCATTTCACATTTTCTCACCCAAAATGAGTTTTATACTCGTCCAAGCAGATATTTTGGGGATCTTTTGCTTATTTTCAGTCCATAGAGACTAGAGAGAACAAGTTTGAAGCTAGGGTTTTGCACAAGCACACTTGGGTCTTGAAGATTAAGGCTTGTGGTTAAGATTTTCTTACTCATTTATGTTTATTTCTTCATTTCCTTGCTTTGTATTATTTATCTAAGTGTGTAGTATTTTATCCAATACTTAAATCTTGTTTATGGGAATATTCATAATTAAAGTGTGGATTTTATACCTTGTTGTGCTTATGTATTGAATGATTTTTCTATATTTATTAAGTGAGTTGTTGTTACTTTAATTATTCTTGTTCTTTAATGTTTCCAAAGGGATTAGCTAACCCTAGGACTCGCCCATTAACTCTGAATTGATTTTGGGAAAAATAGTTTGGGGTTGAGAAAGATTAATTAACAAGAACTTGAGGCGTTAACCCTCATTTTATAGATTCTACATAGGGATAGGATTGAACTACTTGTAGCCTTTTAGGTGTGCTTAATCTTCTAATTGTGATTAGGTATAATTCAATTAGGAAGTCTTGTTAGTCTTCGGAAGAAGCTAATTAAGAATTATTATCCGTGGCTAATTAACATAAACTCGCTCATATTTATAAAATCGTGAAATACATTGGATCGTTACTTGAGTGTAATTCCCGATGCTTTCATACTTATAGCCATTGATCATTTTACTTGCTTTATAGGTTCGTTTACATTTCCGCATTTTAGATATAAAAACAATTTTCAACCAAAATTCTTAGTGTTTGGCACTGCGCGACTAGCGATTATTTTCTTACATTCCTAATCGCCTACACATGTTCTCTGTGGGATTCGACCCTGACTCATAGTTGGGTAAATTATATTGCATGCGACCGTGTCTATTGCTTTTTAGCGGTGGATTTGGACGTCATCAAAATTGGCGCCGTTGCCGGGGAGCAATTTGGCGTAATTTAGGTTGTTTGAGAAGTAAGCGAAAGTGTTTTGGTCCAAACTTGTGAATATTTGTGTAATTATTTTTCTTACCTTGGGTCTACTTTTATTGTTTGTTTCTTGTTTAATTTCTTATTTTTGAAAAATGGCATCATATAATGATAATTGGTTGGATGGTAGTTGTTCATACTTTGATGACTCGTGTCCTTATTGTGGAGGACCACACTCGTGGCAAAATTGTTTAAATTCTCCCGGGGGTGGATTGTGCGCACAATCTCATCCCCATGGTTGGAGTATTTGTGATAAGTGTGGTTGCCAAAATGGTCATTGGGTTTATTATGCATATTTGTCCTTCCCTTCCCCAAGCCCCCACTATGATGAAGTTGCTTTTTGTGATGAGAACTATAGGGCTAGGGAAATGGAAGAAGTTGAGCATGGCCAAAATGGAGAGTTCAAGCTCATGTTGGAGTGTTTACTTGAAGAAGGAAACAAGGAGCAAAATGCCTTGGAACATCTTTTGGAGACTAGTCTCCAAAATGATTTAGCACTTCAACGATTGCACTCACAAATGGATGAAATGATCGAAGCCTCAAGGGTTCAAAGAGCCTTGGAAGTGAATGAAAACCAAAATCCTTCCATGGAGATTGAAAATGAAAATCCTTTCTTGGCACTTGATCAAAACCAAGGAGAACTCCCAAATGCTCAAAATGAGAAAATAATGCTCATGTTGGAGGTCATTCTTGAAAATGAGGAGAAGCACAACTTTGCACTCGAGGACTTGAAACAAGGCTTGAATTACAATGATGAATATATCCGCACTTTGGAAAATCAAATGCAAACTTTGGTTGAGGCTCACTATGCCCAACAACTTGAGTGTGTGGAAGAAAGCCAAGAAGAGTCCAATTCCGAGGAAGAAAGTGAGCTTTACTTTGAGGAATTAAGAATTGAACATCCGCCAACCGACCCGATGAGTATTAGTGATGCCGAGAAAAATATGGAATTAGAGTCAACCGGTGTAAATGCAAATGTGGTTGATGTTGACTCTAATCCGGGGGAAAAGGAGGATGTCAAGATAAAAAAATTGCAAAGTGAAGGCTTGAAGTCACATTCCAAGCATTTTTCAACGTTGGAATTGGGTGGTGACACGGAAGTTGAACCACATGAATCAATGAAGGACTGCGAGGAGGAAAAACTCATGCCCTACATTTTACAGTTTGAAGAAGCAAGAAAACAAAATGACATTCCTCACTTGAGAGCCAAGAAGTGCAAAATGAAGATTTTAAGCATTGGCTCGATCGTCGACTTACCACCCCCCATTGCTCGTGGTCACTAGCTTAATTTCAAGCTAGGTGCCCAATTCATATCATCCAAGTGGCGAAAAAAGTGGTAAAGTTGTTTGCGTCGTGCCACGACGTTAAATGCGGCACTTGGTGGGAGGCAACTCATCGTTTTTCAAAATTTTTCATCATTTTCGAAATTTTATTTTTTAGAATATCTTAGAATATTATTTTTGACTAATCTGCCAAGTTTTAGATTTTTTGGAGTTGATTTGCACGTGTCGAAGTGGTCCGGATGGCAAAAACCAGTAGCTGCAAATACTGTTCACGAAATCTCTGCTAAAACCGCATATGCGACTTTTTGACCGCATCAGCGGTCTCTCAGAAGCGACAAGCCCAACCGCAAAAGCGACTGTTAACACAGAAGCGGTCCCAAAACCGCTGACGCAGCACCGCAGAAGCGGCTTCACTTCCGCAAAAGCGGAAGTCGATCAGGTTTTAAAATTCATTAAAGATTTTTGAACGTTCATTTGCTCAAAACCAACAATACTGCGTCTCCCTGCCCTAACTCCCCAAGAACGAATATTTCTCCAAAAATTCATCAAGCTTAAATGATATTTGTGGATTATGCACACATGGCAGCTAAAAGTCAAGTAGTTTATTGGGAGTATAGAATATATATATATGTTTGGTTATACATGCGAGAAGTCTAGAAATGGAAATGGGATAGGGCAGGGCAGGGCAGCACGAAGTGCTAGTAAGGCAGTAGGGACGGAGCTAGAGTACCGAGAGCAGGTTCGGCCGAATACAGTAATTTTGGTTGAAACTTTGTATTTGTCTTAAAAAATTTATTGAATATATATAAATTACTAATGTAGAACTGAATAACTTACAAAAATTAGAAACACTAACTTATAAGCTTGAATTTCTGGCTCCTAACTCCCCAAAGAACGAATATTTCTCCAAAAATTCATCAAGCTTGCTAGTAAATTGATTTTTCTTGCACGAGTTCAGGTATTATCTTCCGTATCCTCTTCTCAATGCTCATCTCTCACTTCTCATTCTCAAATGCTCAAGTACAACAGAAATTTTCTTTTTCTTCTATTTTATTTGATGTTCTCTTCTTTTTCTTATTTTTTTTGTTTTGGATTCTTGTTGCTAGCTTTAGGAAGTGAGGATTTGGTTGAGTGTAAACGTTTGTGTGCTGATAAGATAGAACAAAATTGGGGGAAGTCTTGAGTACCCCAATTTGTGTGAAGAAGGGTTCATACTAAATCGCTCGCAAAGTGTTCGACACAATGCTTGAGTGAAAATCTTGTGCGAGGCGGCACAAATTTGGTCCCCGTTGAATCATGTTCTGATGTCTTGCATTAATTTTTTATTTTGATGCCAAAATTTGGTTGAAATGGCAAAATAAATTGAAAATCAACTGGGCAGTGATTTCTCAGAAGAACAGTGAAAACCGCAGAAGCGGTTGGACTTCCGCAGAAGCGAAAAGTCAAACAGTCCAATAGCTCAAGAACCGCAGAAGCGGCTTTTTCACCGCAAAAGCGATACCGCTTCTGCGACTCAAGTTCCGCAGAAGCGGAAACTGCCCAGATTTCACAAAAACAGTGTGTTTGCAAACAGTGCCTCCCGGACCCGTTCAACCTAATTTTTTGGCTCAAATGCAGTGTTTTAAATTGCTTAACATAATTCTATTGTCTGACTGATATTGTGTTGATTCTTTGTAGGTGTTTCAATTCAAAAATGGACCCGAACCCAAGCGGATCACGCCAAGAAATTCAGGAAGAGATTTAGGAGCCTTATGACGAGTCGCGCTTCATGTCTGCTTCATGTGAGTGCCGATATTTGGACGACCTCGTCCATAAAAAGATCATTCCTGAAAAGGGGATCCTTGAGGATAAACTGGCCGAAAAGCTTCCTGACTTCCATGCCCGGCTTTATTCATCCGGATGGTCCTGTTTCATCGCCACTCCTTGCGAGGCCAATGAAATGTGGGTTCGCGAGTTCTACGCCAATCTTAGGCGTACGAACTTTGACGATCCACAAATCATAATCAGAGGACGAATGGTGAGATTTGGGATTGAATACATCAATGACACCCTTGGAATCCCAAACTTGGAGCCGGCACAAGAGAAAAATAACTGTGATAATGGAGAGTGGCTCGTATCCAAACTTTTCCCTCCGCACTTGAGGGAGAAACGGGGAAACAAAAGAAAGGGGCTGAAATCAATTGACTTCACCGCCGAGGCCAAAAGGTGGCTGCATATCATCAGTAACAGAGTCTGTCCATGTTGAAATGTCTCCGATGTCTCCTACACCCGGGCACTGATCATAGCATGCATTCTAGATGGTATTCAGGTGAATGTGGGGTACTTCATTCTTCAGGAGATGAGGCAGTACTTGAGAGAGTACTCGAGAGAGAAGGATGCAGGGTTGATGTTCCCCTCACTGATTACAAGACTATGCACCCGAGCAGAGGTTGCCATCTGCCCCACCGATCGTTGGTTGCCAGCTGACAAACCTTTCCACCCCTTGAGAGTGACCGGAGAGGGAACTGTGGTCAAAAGCAAAAAGAGGAAAGTCACTTCCACAGCCACAGGTTCAGAGTCAGCCCCTCAAGGGCCATTCGGGATACTTAACTCCGAGCTTCAATCAATTAAGGAGTTAGTATCGCAGCTTCCGAGTGTGCCCTCCTCCTCACAGCCTGGCCCTTCTTACTTCTCCAGGGAAGATATGCAGGGTTACTTGGATGCTAAAAAACGCCAGGAAGAGAACATGAAGAAAATGACAGCATCAGTGACCAAACTGGAGGGAGCCTATGCCACTTTGGCCAAGGCCCATGCTGACCTTCAGGCGAACTTTCAGAAGGAGAAGAAGAAGAACAAGAAAAAGAACAAATTCATGGTCAAGATGTGGAGAGGCATCAAAGCCATTTTCAAGTGGGGACAACCAGATGCAAAGATTCCAGTGGCAGCAGAAGACGATAGTGCGGAGTATTCATTCCTTTCACAGTCTGCTAGTGATGGTGGCGATGATGATGATGATGATGATGAGGAGACAGATGATGATGGAGCCACGAGTGCAGCTCAGCATTGATCAGCCGTCCTCCCACAGTCTGCTAGTCTGATGCATGACTGATGCAGACCTCAGGGAGACCCTCAAACTTTTTACGCTTTATATTCTATATTGTGCAGTGAGGACACTGCAATGTTTTAGTTGGGGTGGCATTGTGTACTGTATTCATATTTTGAGATTATGTGCCCTTGCCGGGCTTATGTTTATGTTGTGGATACTGTATGCCCTCGCCGGGCTTGTGATTATGTTGTTCTGTACCTTGTGTGCCCTTGCCGGGCTAGTATATGCAGCAGGTGCCCTTGTCGGGCTTGGTTTGATTAGTCGTGTTTGTGTTTGTATTTTGCTTTCATTATTTATGTTTCTTCTTATTAGCTTATATTTTTTTCCTTTGTAGTAGTATTAGCTTCTTTTATTTTAGTATACTTTATAGTAGTTTTCTTTTCTTTTATTTTCATTTCTTTAAATAAAATTTCCTTGGGTTTTGTTCATGCTACGGTTCTTTCCCAAGGAATACTTTTGAAGTGAACCGGGTGACTTTTCCCGATGATGGATAGATTGATAACTTTCTTAAGGGAGTTAGTCTTGTTTTGCTAGAATGAGGCTTTTGGATTATTTGGTACTAAGAATATTAGTCTCTTGTATGTAAATTGTAAATTAAGAATACCCCTCCAAAAATTGGTAATTTTGTACTTAAGTATGTAAATTGTAAATTAAGAATACCCCTCCAAAAATTGGTAATTTTGTACTTAAGTATGTAAATTGTAAATTAAGAATACCCCTCCAAAAATTGGTAATTTTGTACTTAAGTATGTAAATTGTAAATTAAGAATACCCCTCCAAAAATTGGTAATTTTGTACTTAAAACAAGTAAGTGCTTGGGGCAAAATAATTCTTGTGATAAAGTTTTGGCTCTTTTAGTGACTCTTTACCTACTAGTTCAAATATTGCTCTAAATATCATTATTAGAAAACAACATTAATCCATCTTGATTAGTTCATGTGCCATGTGTGTTAGTGTTTGTTCAAATAAATCTTGTGTTTACTTCTATCATCTAGAACTTGCCCGGTTGGTTTTTCAATGCTAATGATAGTATGTTTGGTTGGAGGAATGATCTTGGGCATTCTTTGTTGTATTTACAAAACCTCGTTAGCCTTTCAAGCCTACCTTTGCATAAATAATATCACTAATACCTAATTTGAGCCTTTAAACCTTTTTCTTTGGCCAACTCATTACAAACCTTTTCCCTTTTGAAAAATAATTCCCTCTCTTGAACCCGTCCCTCTTTGAACATTGAGAATGAGGCTAAAAGCCTAAGTTGGGGGTGGTGTCGAAGGAGAGATTGGTAAGGTTGTATGGTGAGTTTAGGACCCATGCCTCAAAAATGTTTGTTTAAGTATTCAAGCTCCAAAAGAGGGGGAAAAAAAGAGATGAAAAATAGGTGTATATAAAAATAAAAAATAAAAAATAAAATATGTGTATATATATAAAAGTACGGAGTCTTGAATAAAAATTAGAAGAGGTAGATGAGGTGGTTCTATATTGGGAACTAAATGAAAGTGAGGCTATGGGGGTTTGAAAAGGAGCAAAGTGCAAAAGAATGGAAAAGTGTGAGTAGTGAGTAAAGTCACTTGTGCCCAAATGTCTATCCAACCCTTTCCTAAACCTACATTACAAGCTTAAAAAGTCCTTATGAGACCTCCAACCGAGCATTCTTGAATAAGCGATGAATTAAATAAGGGCAAGCCTATGGTATGAAATGTTGTAACACTTGAAGTTCTTTGTGAGAGTGAGTGTTCTTGAAAAATTTGTCCCTTATGTTGTATTGTAAATATAGTGATTTTGGGACTTTCTTCCTTGTGAGGGCACATGAATTAGGAAAGATTGGTGAAATAGAGCAAAGTGACCAATTTTTAGTTGACTAGTGCGTTTGAGTCACTTCTTGAGGCTTATGTTGATCACTTGATTATTCTTGAACTCCCTTGCACATTCTTGAAGTTGTTTTTCTTTATGAGGGAGTTATTCGGGAAAGATGTGCATACTCGAGCCTAATTGTTAGTACCAACCAAATCCATTAGTATGGTGTTTAAATTGGAGAATGTGTTATGTAAGTAATGGCGATACCACTTGTGTTTTAAATAGTGAATCCTCATTGAAGTTTTGGTTTTGATTTGCTTGAGGACAAGCAAAAGCTTTAAGTTGGGGGTGTTGATGAGTGGTGATTTTACCACTCATTCTAGCCTCTTTTCCTTAACTTTTATGTCCTTTTAATTATACAATGAGGTTGTTTATGGTGGTTATTGTTAGATTTTCAGGTAAATGATGCTACGAAGTGGTTTGAATCGAATGGAAGTGGAATTGAGCAAAAAGAAGATGAAACCATGCAAAACCTCCAGTGATTTCCGCTTCTGCGGAAGATTGGACGCAGAAGCGACGTCCGCTTCTGCGGATTTTCGATCGCTTATGCGGATTTGGGGGAATAGGCTACAACCGCTTCTGCGGTTGAAATTTTGCTTCTGCGGATTTTCCGCTTTTGCGATCACTGACAGCATGGAGGATTTCCGCTTTTGCGATGGCTTTTCCGCTTTTGCGGAACCGCATCTGCGGTTACTTTTACGCAGATGCGGAAACAGTGCATCAGGCCCGGGCAAAATTGTCATTTCACATTTGCTCACCCAAAATGAGTTTTATACTCGTCCAAGCAGATATTTTGAGGATCTTTTGCTTATTTTCAGTCCATAGAGACTAGAGAGAACAAGTTTGAAGCTAGGGTTTTGCACAAGCACACTTGGGTCTTGAAGATTAAGGCTTGTGGTTAAGATTTGCTTATCCATTTATGTTTATTTCTTCATTTCCTTGTTTTGTATTGTTTATCTAAGTGTGTAGTATTTTATCCAACACTTAAATCTTGTTTATGGGAATATGCATAATTAAAGTGTGGATTTTATACCTTGTTGTGCTTATGTATTGAATGATTTCTCTATATTTATGAAGTGAGTTGTTGTTACTTTAATTATTCTTGTTCTTTAATGTTTCCAAAGGGATTAGCTAACCCTAGTACTCGCCCATTAACTCCGAATTGATTTTGGGAAAAATAGTTTGGGGTTGGGAAAGATTAATTAACAAGAACTTGAGGCGTTAACCCTCATTTTATAGATTCTACCTAGGGATAGGATTGAACTACTTGTAGCCTTTCGGGTGTGCTTAATCTTCTAATTGTGATTAGGGATAATTCAATTAGGAAGTCTTGTTAGTCTTCGGAAGAAGCTAATTAAGAATTATTATCCGTGGCTAATTAACATAAACTCGCTCATATTTGTAAAATCGTGAAATACATTGGATCGTTACTTGAGTGTAATTCCCGATGCTTTCATACTTGTAGCCATTGATCATTTTACTTGCTTTCTAGGTTAGTTTACATTTCCGCATTTTAGATATAAAAACAATTTTCAACCAAAATTCTTAGTGTTTGGCACTGCGCGACTAGCGATAATTTTCTTACATTCCTAATTGCCTACACATTGTTCTCTATGGGATTCGATCCCGACTCATAGTTGGGTAAATTATATTGCATGCGACCATGTCTATTGCTTTTTAGCGGTGGATTTGGACGTCATCAGTATCCACAATGGTAGCAACCATGAAACCCGAGCTTGCACTGACCTGAATGTTGCTGCTTACATGTTCCACAAATACCTTGCTGGTGTGAATGTTGCTCAGCATGACTCTGGCTATGTGAGGATGATGTCCTAAAATTCTGATTCTGGCGAGACTGATTTCCATAACTCTGAGTACGTCTGAAGGAAGACCCACCACCTGACTGATGACTGGACTGAGGTGGTGCTAATGACTCCTTATTAGAGGAATCCCTTCCGCCTCCGCTGGATGTACCATTAAACCTGCCCGTTGTCCGGGATTTCTTGTTATGCTCTTTATCTTCTCTCCTTTGTTGTCTGTCTTTTTCTAAGTGCTTGGCGAACCCCATAACAGATGAGCAAGTTGTCATTCCTATCGCTGCAGCTGATGTCATATCCTTAATGTGGTAAGCCAAACCGCCAACAAACCTGCGAATCTTTGCTTTTTCTGTCTTAACCATGTGAGGAGCATGCTTAGCTAACCTTATGAAGTCCATATAGTACTCTTGCACACTTTTATTCCCTTGCTTGAGCTGTTAGAACTTTGTAGCCTTAGCTGCCGTATCCTATTCTGGGATGAAGTTAGCTATGAAGGCCTCTTCAAATTCTTCCCAAGTAGGTGGACCATCATCTTCATCTCTCTCTTTTTCCCACATCTCAAACCAAACGCCAGCCACATCTCTAAGCTGGTAAGCAGCCAGCTCCACAGCGTTGTCATCAAATGCTTTCATCACGCGGAGGGCTTTCTTAACACCTCCATCCATAATTGGATCTTCATCAACTATAGAACCATGGAACACTGGAGAACTCAACTTCAAAAATTCATTCACTCTTTAGGACTCAGAATTGTTCTGTCTATTTGTTTGAGGTGGAATCTTATCTCTTTTCTCGTTCTGGTTGGCCATAAAGGCCTTAAACATCTCCATAGCACTGTTGACCTCTGGGGAAATAGTTGTTTGAGTCGGAGCTGCTGTTGGGGGTGGCATTGGATCTTGAGGTACTTGCTCATCATGCTCCACCCCTTCTTCATGTTCAACCTGGGGTACTTGAATCCCCCTTGTGGATTTACCTTTCCTTTTCTGAGTTCGAGCCTTTTTCGTTCTGCCTTGAGCCACGATAGTAGCAATAGTTTCTTGAGCAGCATCCTGAGTGTCGGTGTCAGAGTTGCGAGTACGATCCATTTCTGCGAGTTTTGGAGAAACAAATACATTAGATAATTTCTTAGATGTAGGATCTACTGCACGATCTAAAGTATGAAAAAAAAATGAGATTTTTCCTAAATGCTTGTAGCCTCCTGTTTATAAGTATGGCGCACTTCATACCCATAAACAAGACTCTACTAATACGGCTTCATAGACCCCTAGGACTCCATAAACCTGAGGCTCTGATACCAAGTTTGTCACGACCCATTTTCTGAACAAGCCGGGACCGGCACTCGATCACTAAGCATGACTGAGCGAACCATCTCTGCTTATCAAATCTATTATAATTCCAAACTTTATATGCAACAAGGCATTACTCTAACCAAATACTTTTGATTTATTTTGTATAATGAAATTCTGGTAGAAGTTTTATGTAATTTCAAAGTAAACGTGGTTGAAGTTTGTTCTTCAAGGTGAATCAAGTGTGCCAAACTAAAATAAATGATAAGATGATTTATTTTACTCTAACCAATGAAATACTGT